CACCTCGTTTTTTTGCTACTATTTGGTGCTGGAAACTAAAAAACACATCAGGAAAATAAAACAACCTATATTTGTCTCAAATTTAGTCCTGAAACTCTCTGTCTCAAAGTGCCAAAGCACAAAAGATGAAAATTCTTCTGGGAAGGGACAAGCAAAGGGAGCTTTGTGTGAAATATTATGCTCCCCTATTCTCCCTGGACTGCTTATTGTCTGTTTTTCCATGCAGTATTTTTGCTGGAGACACAGATCTACAAGAACATTGTCTGCCACATTCTCATCACCCTTCCTATCACTGAGGAAGAGGAAAGGGGGACAGCTGTGCAGCCTCTCTCTTGCAGCTGCATTTTCCCTAGGTGTAAATCCAACCACAAACCTGCAAACATTCTGAATCCCTGTCTTTCAAAGTAGCATTTTCTTGGCCGTTGATGCAGGGAACAAGAAACAGCAGCCTTCATTTTTGTTTAAAATTCAGCAAGCGTTTGACCAGATGTAGAACCAAGGAGTCATAAAACAAAAACAGGCTCCCTGCTCCAAGTGCAACCTGAATGCAGGAGTAGGCTGGGAGTACTTTGCTATGGCAAAATGCTCCCCTTTGAGCAGTGCACTCAGGAGGTAAGCCAAGAGGCTGAGGGACTCAAGGACAGCTCTGAACTCTCACTCAGACTGCAACAACTGCACAGTTCCCACATCAAAGTCTTGGGCTCAGCCTAGCTTCAAAATTCACAGACTCAGTATCAACCTGCTACTGGTTCATAAAGAATCAACAACTTATCAACAACTGCTACTATGATGTCTGCAAGCTTTTCAGTTGAAATAAGTATCTGCACCCTGTCATTCTGTCTATGCCATGTGGCAGATCTGGCCTTAGATGGCATCTGATCTTGCCAGTAAAATCTGCTGCTGCTTGGAATAAAAGAGAGAAACTTGTGAAAGAAAGTTGAGTGCTTTATGAGTCAGAACTGTAGACTTAGCTTTTTTTGTGAGCAATAAGATATATCTGCTGTAACAATGCAATTGGTGTGAATAAAATCACATAAAATTGCATCAAGCCAACTGCAATTCCCTTTCCTCCAGATATATAAGTTTTACAGGAAAATGGGGGAAAAATATTTCAATAAGCTTTACTAAATTACACTAATTAATAAATTAACAAAAGGCTCATATTATACTGTCATAGACAAGAGACATGATTGACTGTTTCCTGAATATATGATTAAGGCTGCATTCAAAGCCAATGAAAAATAAAAATTTCCATCAAGACTTGCAGAAGTGTCTCCATTACTTCAAAGGATGTAGTGGACTCACGATTATATTCTATTCAGCCACTGACGTAACAGATTATGTGGTCATGGTATGGAGTTGAAGGCAAAGCAAATTACAGAGAAAAAAAAATGTGTTTTACTGTCTGAGGGGAAGGAGATTTCTGTGACTGGCAGTTTTGTCTCCCTCCATGTTGATAGCAGAGGTCATACAAAGTCTCAAGGCTCTGCTCACACCAGAAGTGGGTAGCTTAGTCCAGCTTGTACCTTGCTTACAGCAGAATTAGCCATTATGTGTTTGTCTGTGGCCTAACCTTCCTTATCTCAGTTACTTCCTTTACAGGCTTTAAAGCCAGGTTATCATGGGGATACAGGCAGCTGAGGAATTATTCTCTTAATAGGTCTCATTTATTAGATGCTACATCAAATTAACCTATTAGATTGAGGCAGAAGCTGAACATAATACAGAACCCACGTCTGCTACAAAAGTGTGCTAATGCAGTTTGGTTGCTATGGTGTAAAATTCAACATAAGGATCATGAAGACATGTTTGCCTTTTCCCATTACTGAAGAAGATGTCTGGTTGATTGACTAATCCATGAGATAGGATAAAGCATTGGTCCTAACAACAAGGTGCTTCTCAATAGAAACAAACATCAGTTGCTGCTGAGAACGTAATCAGTCTTCACAAACCCAAGTTCAGTACTTTAACTAGTCAGTCAGTCTTGGAGCTTCTGAGCCTTAGTTTTGTTAAATTTGATTACAAGCATTACCTAAGTGTAATTGATTCCTCCTCAGGAGAAGAAAAATATTACACATATAAGTAGAAGAAATTGTTTTCTTTTTTTCTTAACTGTTTTATTTGAATGTGGACTTAAAACTTATGACAAGTACATCTTAGTAGGTCTCTAAGGAAAATATCTCATACTGTTTATCTGTTTAATGCATACTGCATGAATTTCTGATGCATTGTTCCTCCTGAACGCTTTGAGCCAAACTGGGGAAGTTCTTAGATAACAGCAGAAAATTTTCTTGGATAAGAATAAATTTATTTTCCTATCTTTCCACATACTATGCTGAGTTTTGAATTGCCTTCAGACCATGCACTTCATATCTCTGGCACTGCTGCCTAAGATTTCAGTCAGAGCAAGCTTGTGCCACTGCCATCACATTGCTTCCCACCCACTCCAGCCAACCACACTTGAAATGTACAATGCAGGGTACCGTGGCTAAAAGAACCCCTACCCACAATGTAAACATGAGCATCATCGTAAGCAATAACCAATATTTACTTTTAGGCACAATGAAATAAAAATCACTTTGGCAGGTAACATATCTGTTTGCCTACATATCAACTAAACCTGCAGCCACTTATGGTTATTCACCTTATGCATATCACAAGTTCTATTACAAGTATTTTGTTCTTGCCTTTATTGTGCTGTGCAGTGTTGTGGCTCCCCAGGAGAGAGACAGTGTTTATTGGAAAACAGAGTGAATTGTTTTCAGGTGAGTTACACCCTTTTTGTAAAATCAACAGTGAATGGCTATGAGTTGCTCACTGCTAAGAAAGCATGAAACCAATAAACAGTGTCATGAGCAGAACGAGTGTCTACAGGCAACATGCATGTGGCCCTCACATGGATCCAGGATACTTATCAAAACGGAAGTCATTAAGGGACTGAAACCCGAGCTAAACTTACACTAAGAAAGGGTGTGTTGTAATAAAAAGGTTATAAAAAATAGTTCATAATTTTCCTATCTCCTTTTAAATTCTCTGATTCATTGGAAGAGATTATTGGAGGTTTTGAAGCAAAGCTTTTGAACAGCTGTCAGTGAAATGGCCAGTAGCAACGAGATGGAGTTTTCTTGTCTAATAAAAGTGGGTAGAATTCTCTATATCCAGGAAAAACAAATGTTTCTTTTCTCTGATTTTACTGCCTTTTCTTTCTACACTGATAGCAATCTAGAGAAAAAAAAAATCAGTCAAATAACTCTATTTAGGAAAAAAAACGCAAGTCCTGTTATTCATGCTATCATGACAAGCCAGTGTGAAGCTCGAGCAGCTGGCAATAGAAGAGCCTGTGTGTAAGGCATAGTTTTTGCTATTTTCACCCCTTCTTCTCACATATTTTTTCTGTTGAGATATTCAACACCAGCGATGTTGTCAGGTACTTGAGCAGGGTTCTGAAAAAGAAAGGACTCCTCTGCAGTCCTGAGTAGCCATCTCCAGCAGCAACTGCATGTCTCCTCTCCAGCACCCTAATCTGTGCCTGAGTTAAAGGATTTTATTTCATAAATGAAGAGCTGTGGTATAAAGAGAAAAGAAAATCTCTGTCTCTTCTGTCCCGGTTTGGCATTCCTAACTCATACATCACTCTTCCTCTTAACTAGAGTCTGGTATGCCTCAGCCAAAACAGCTTTGGTTGTGCTGAAGCTGCTTTGCCAGCACAAAGCCTGCTCCAAAGCCATTTCTGGACCTTTCCTGCCACTTCCCAGAAAATCCGTAGGCTCCTTGGAGGTTTTCCAGCACTAGAGTGCCAAAGTGAAGCATGCAACAAAATGAGAGAGCTGCCCGTGTGGTGAAATAGTTTGGGGAAGGATGAGGGAAGGAGCCTATCAGGAACTCCCTCACAACCCAGCAATTCCCAGCTTTAACAGTGATCACCACATCTGGCATAATGATCACCATAATGGCATCTTTTATTACAAGAGGCTGCAAGTCTCTCGTATACAGAAAAAGACCATCAAGGGTGAACAGCCAAAGGCGGGGGGGGGTGGGAAATCAGGGAAGTGCAGAGGTAGTTCAAGGCTTGAAGGGATTTATTGCTTTACTGCTCATTTATGACGAGGTGATATAAGATATGAGGCGACAGTCCCACCCGCTCCGCTAGAGGGGCGGGAAGGCCTCGGATCCTCCAGCGGGCTGTGACATCACCGCTCCCACACTCGGATGCTGGCGGGGGAAGGACAGTAAGGCAGGTGCTGGCCTTTCCCAAAACAGGAAAGCCATGCCAAAGCTGTAAGAAACTCGTGTCCAAAGCACTGCGTGTAGACATTATTCTTGCTCCCGTAGCTCTACCCTTCTGTTCAGGGGTGATCCCGAGCCACGAGAGACCAGTTCACCAAGCGGGCATGAGCCAGCCCTCACACGGTAACTAACTCAGTCACTTTCATTAAGGAGCGGACTTTAAATACGGTTATTATTGGTTGCCGCGACCCACTTCGCACCGCGCGGAGATTTCCCACATATTTCGATATCACGTCACGGAGTGAATAACACCGGCGCATTAAGCAGCCCTAAGCAAGGCCAGCCCCGCCTGAGGGGGTGCCAGCCCCATTCAGCGCAGCATCACGGCGGACCCAGCAGCAGTAGTTCCACGGCACAGTGCACCGTGAGGTGTCCCCACTCTCCATTCCTCCCTCCTTTTTTTGTTCCTTCCCTCTCTCCCTCCCTCCCTCTCACCTTCCCTCAGCGTTCCCCTCAGGCTCAGCCCCGGCCCCGCGGGCGAGCGCCTCGTGCTCCCCTCGCGCGCGCGCACCAATCACAGACGCCTGGAGGGGCCGCGAGCCGAGTGCGCGCGCCCTCCCGCTCCCTTTCCCTACCCACCCCCGCTCCAAGGGCGGAACCGAGAGCCCGCTCCAGCCAATCACAGACAAACGGGCGTGAAGCGTGAGGCGCGAGCGGGCCCGCGTGCCGGGACGCCGTATAAAAGGGAGGCCGGGCGCGAGCGCGCGGCTCACTCGCCGCCGGCACTGACGGCGGAGGGACGCACGCGAGCTGCCGCCCCCGCCCGCCGCCTCAACGGCCGCCGCGCCCCCCCCGCGCCACGCCATGAAAACCAAGTTCTGCAACGGCGATGCCGACCCGTCCCCGCTTGGACTCATCCTTAGCCGCGGGTCCGCCGCGGCTGGGCAGCCGCCCTCGCCGCTTGCTCACCCCGAACCTGAGGGAAAGGACCCCACCGCGGCGGGCAGAGGCGGTGGCGTCTCGCCCCTGCCCCCGGCGCTGCCTCCGCCGCTCGAGGAGGAGTCGCCGCCGCTCGACCCCCGGACGCGGCGCCGGGCGTATCTGTGGTGCAAAGAGTTCCTGCCGGGGGCCTGGCGGGGGCTGCAGGAGGAGCAGCTGCGCATCAGCCCCATCAGGTCAGCGCGGAGGGGGAGGTAGCCCATCCAGGGGGCGGGGACGGGGGCTCGCCGCGGGTTCGAGCCGACCCCCGCGGGAGAGGCGAGGGGCTCCGTTTTAATTTCGCTTTATTCTTTTAAATCCCTCCCGAATTGGGTTTACTGGGCGGTGAGAGCGGGCTGGCTGCCGCGGGGGCGGCGCCGGATGCGCCCCCGACCCGGAGCGGGTGGTGGTGCGGGGGGGGCGGCGGCTGCTGCTGCTGCATCGCGACGGCCCCGTCTCGGCCCCGCGCCGGGGGAGGGGCCCCGCGCCCGGCCGGGAGAGGGATGGAGCCGGCAGAAACCGCTGCACCGCGCCCCGAGCTCCCTGCCGGGGGAAAAGGGCCCTGCTGGGCTGGCCCTGGCTGCTCCGCACTGAGAAATTATCAGGTAAACGCGGTGTACCGATGATGTGAGTCATCTTCTACAGTACACAGTAACGAGTGCTTGTGACTCAGCACGTTGGCAGCAGAAATATGTAAATTGGGGACGTTCTGGAAGCCATATGATGTAATGTGCTGAAGATCTTTGCCTGCTTTGCAAAATTAAATAGCATCTTTATTTTGCTTTAACTAAACCGATGTTAGTTCAGAGTTTCCCCTTTAAGCACCGCTTGTCTCACATCTTCCAGACTGATCGTTCTACCTGATCAAACATAGTCAGGGACAGTTTCAAAGGATACTATTATCAGTTTGCTTTCCCAATGTTTCTACTTTTGTCCATTCACAAAACATGCACACATCTACCCTAGGCACCTAAGGGAGCATACACAGTTGAGAAAGCTCTGATGTATAAAAGTATGACTAAAACATATTTTGCTCATTCCTAAATTTATTTTAAAAGCATTATTGAAAAATGAGCAACTCACTGAGACCCAGTGCAGGTAGTATTTTTTTTTCTAGATAGTTTCTCCTCATTTGACTTGATCATAAGGAGTTAATGAAAGGAGAGAATTTTAACAAAACCAATACAATTCCTAAACAGTAGACTAGTCTGATATGTCTAGTTTGAGTTGCTTAATTAAGTTTCCATCTGTATTAGTGTGTATTGCTGATTTTAGCACTTACTGTCTAAAGCCTTACATTTTAGCATGGTTATCTTTGCATTTCTTGGAAACCTCTGTGTGAGACACCACTTCAGAATAGCTTTGTGATTTCCAAATTTGGCAGAAGAGGAGCTGAAACTTAAGAATGTGTAAGGCCATGCTAATTGGCAGTTGGGGTTTTTTTTGGCAAAAGTCTTCTCACCACTTTCATCTCTGGGCAATGCATCATATTGGTTTGCTAATTCTGGTTTCAGTCAGTGTGCATTCTCCAATGTGTCCATTAATACTGTAAATTCATCTTGAACAGCTGTCAGTTAAATAACTGGTAGCTTTATCTGTATGAGTGAGATGTGCCCTTTTGACCTTTAAACAAGCTGCTGAATCTACTGACCTTTCAGAAGAACAGTGCCTTTTATTATGCTTCTGTATGGATTTCCTTGATAACTTTTCCAGGTAACTTTTGAAGTTTTAAATGAAATAGTGAACTTAAACTGTAGTGAAACTTCTGTTTAGTGGCGTTCAGCATCCACTTTGTCTTGTCTGGTATAAAAAAAGAATTTCTGGGCTTTCACACACTGTGCAGGCTAAACATTTGTTTAAGTCATGTAACTATACAGATTCTTGTGCTTTAGTCCAGTATTTCTTATATTTTTCAGTGTGCTTAGTTCTTCTATTTAATATTGGTATTTTCACCAGAGTTCATCAGAGGCATAGGAAAGGTGGCAAATGTTTTTTCACAAAAATCTGTCTAGCACAGTTCAGATAAAGCCGAAAGTGTAGTTAGTATAACTAACCAATGTTTGGATTGCCTTTGAATAGCTGGCTCTGCTCTTCCTTTGATATCCTTTCCATCTGTCTCTTGGGGTTTTTTCCAACCTGTTAACCTTCATGGTTCAAAGTTACTTCATATCTTGTCTCTAAACATCCTTTTTTGAGTGCCTGCCAAGCCACCTGGTTCTTTTCTGTCTCCTTTCTTAAGCATATTGTGCAGCTGCTGTTTTACCCTGTTTTCTTGAGATTTCTTTTTTTTCTTCTCAGTTGTTGACTTTGGATATGTAGGCCAGTCACTGTCTCCTTCTTGGTAGCCTTTTTTTCCAGAAAGTCTTTTCTGCTTCCCCACTGTGTTGAAAGAGAGCCGAGAACAATATTTGAAAAAGCATTGAAAGGAATGTCAGGTTAGGACTGAGAATTGCATTTTAGACACTACATTTTGCTGTGGATTCTTGTAATCCAAGGTCACTGCAAGGTATTACATGTTACAGTCAAAATCACTTGCAGAAGGAAAATTTGAAAATTTCATACATGGTAATAATAAGAATGCAGAAAGGCAATGCAGTAAAGAAAATGTGGGTTGAGTAGATGGGTATTCCTATGAGCTACAAGAAGTTCAGGAAACTTAGAATCTCATCAAGATAGGCACAAACTAGGAAAATCTATGCTTCAATCATTCAGATGATACACAAACATGCTAGTTTTTAAATATAATTACTGTTTAACAACAGTATTTTTACAGGAAAAAGTGGTAGCATTTGTTTTGTTTTCCACAGCTTTATCAATCTAGATAGATACTCGACCAGAGAAACTGAGTGTGATTTTAGATTTGACAAATACATGAGCAATTTATTTCAAATAAAGAATTGCTTTAATTGTAAATTTAAAAAAAAAATTGAAAATGTGTCCCTAAGAAAGACAGCAGAAGTAAGACTTTCATCAGCAATGCTTTATAGCTGAATTTTAAGCTGCCACTCCCAGTGATAGCAACTCTTAATTGAAACTTGGAGTTTTATATTCACTGAATGGTTTTAAACTTATTCTGCCGTAGCTTTGCTTGTGTAGCCAAGTGCATCTGACAAGACTCCAGCATGGCTGAAAATAATTTGCTTAGATCTAGATAGTTGTTTGTTGCATTTTACATCTGTTTGTTAATAGCTTGAGCTGTGATTTGGATCAATAGCTCTGGGTGGTGAACTGTACATTAAGAAGCATGAAGCTGCCATTGTTTTATTGAAGCCTCGTATGTTATGAGTTATGGGTACTGCTGGAAAACTTTCTTGTTAGAGCAGACCAATTAATCACACCCAAAGGATTTTTAGTGCACCTCTAATCTGAAAACAAAACATGTGCTTATCCAAGTCAGCTAATCAATGTATTTCTGTCTCCAGAGGTGGCCTCAGCAACATGCTGTTTCAGTGCTCACTACCTGATACCATTGAGACAGTTGCAGATGAACCACGGAAAGTTCTCCTGCGTTTATACGGTGCAATCCTGCAGATGGTGAGTACATAGAGTGCTTTGGGAGTGGGAGGGTTTCTGTAGCTTCACTGTAATATGTTTGGAGATGTTCATTTGTGACACTATGGAGCTTTATCCTTTAGGGAATGTTTCTGTGGTGGGGGGTAGATTGCAAGCTGAAAACAGTTTTTTAATGATTTGTTATTGTCTAGGACTTACTCCTTTCTACGCAGATCCCCACTGGTGTGAATTAGCTGAAGGCTCATTTGCTGTTTGTTTGGGCACTAATGTTTTGTTTATGGTCTTAAGTTTGGACTGTGGTGTTTCAAAATAATTTGCTTCTGTACAGAATGTAGAACTTTGACATAACTAGCTAGATTGCGAGACTAAACTGCTTCATTTTAATCTTGATAGCACTTATGAATCTTGGAGGTTAGTTGAAGGTTTTGTCAAGCTTGTACACTACTCAAGCATTTTATTAGATATCATGGGTAATTGTGCTGCTAGAAAATTTGAAAATATAGTTTTAGAATAAGAATGAAGAGTGAACTTCAATACTGTACAGTCATCTCATTCCAAAATATGCTTTCCTGAATGTGTGGAGTGCCGTATAGCTGGCATAGAAGCTTAACTGGATGTTTTGTCTGACTCTTTTAATGATACTTTTATTTGGCTAGTAAAATGTAAATAGTATTGAAATTTGTCACACCTTAAGTGAAGCAGTTGGCAAATCTGTTTCAAATAGTAGCACTTAAAAGCAAGACTATTTTGTACATGTGGTTTCTTCTAAAGCTGACAGACTGTTACTCTAGGACTGTACAGCAGATCTTCTCTTATCCATCTCTGCTACACATAACGATTACATTGTAAATAAGCAATCATAATGTAAGTGTTTAACCTTATGAAAAATTGCAGCTTCATAACATTACATCTGTATGTTGGCAATTGTTTCTATTTGACTTAGAGGGTCTGGTTTTATTATCCATTAATTTTATATTTTCCAGTACTCAGTCACTTGCTTTGAACAACTGGTTCAATATCTGCAGAAGATTTCCTGTTCCTGAAATTTCAGCCCATTCTTCCTGCTTCTGCTGTCTTGACCAAGCTCACTATTAAAAATATCATTAGATATTGTTGCTTTACTGACTTTGAAGTGTTCCTTTATTATATCATGTGAGTTGTTAACTTTCCTGTGGCAACAAACTTTACCAGAAATATGTAAAATATTCCAGTGGTTTGGAAGAGCATGAATTGCTTGGCTACAGCACCATATGTTTTGGGAAAGTTAAACTCTTAAGGAAAGTGTGTAGAAGGTCAGTAATTCAAGCTTAAATAGTCTAAGTTTTAAAGAGAAACTAAAAGCAGAGCGAAAAAAGGGTCATGTGAAACTTTGTTTTCAAAATGACTCCTAGGATTGATGCTGAGTTGGGGTTCTTTTCAAGAACTATTAATGGTTTCAATGCAATGCTGAGTTAATTTATAGAAAGCTTGAGTAGGAACATGGGCTGTAAAACTATTGTAGTGGTAGAGCTTCTGTTTCCCAAGAGCTGTAAAGAAATATGGCCTTTCCCTTATTTTTCAAAAGAAAAATAAAGTAGACTCTAGAATTTGGCTGCCCTCTTCTTCCCTCAGGATATTTTTTAACTTGCCTCTTCTCTGCCCCTATCTACTGAAGAAATCAAAATAAATTTTTGGGCTCTAAAATCAGAACCAATTTGGTTTGAAAATTGAAAGTGTGTTCATAACTTTCTAACCTTTCTGCTCTTGGTGTTGAAGGATCTTTTGAGATGTCTAACTTCCTTTATTTCCATAGTGGCAGTGAAATGACTGCTCTTGTTGGTGCAGTTCACTAATGGTTAAGTAAGCAGAGAAAGTCCCAAGGTAAAACTTTGATTGCATTGAGGTTCACAATTTTTGTCAACAAACATTTGTCTCTTCCAGCCCCTTTACCTTAAATGCAAGTTAAAATATAAGCAAACTGTTTTATTGGGTATTTTGAAAACCTCACATAGGATTCCTATGAGTTTCTGGGTGGCATAAGCAGAATGTTATGACAAGCCTGTTAATACGGAGTAATTTGATACTTTTAGTAAAGTTGCTTAAGTTAAAAACCCTGTAGAAATTAAGGAACGCTGCTTAAGTAAGTTGAGTTTTGAGACCTTCTGCTAAAATCACAATTTAATTTTCAATGACTTAATTGTAACTGCCACTGGGTATTAGTAGTTACCACTTGTTTGTTTGAGCCTTTGTAGCATGTTTTAACTCTTGTCCATTTTACCTTCTGTTGAAATTGGAGCACAAACCAGTGATATCAGTTCTTTATCCCTTTACTGTAAATACTGTGTATCTATAGCAACCTGCACCAAATTCTTGTACATACAGAAGACAAGTTTAAGTTAAAATTTTGAATACAAGTGAAAAATGGGTCCCTGATTACTAACTTAAGAATGAATGATACTGGCACCATAATTCTTTGAGCCACCTTTTAAAGGAACCTTTTTTGCAGTTTGAAAATAGCTCCAGTTTGCTTATTATGACACTTGGAAGACACAAATGTCAGTACATGAAACTCATCCAATATAAACCATGCCAGCTGGCTAAAGCTGCCACACAGGGAAGGCTTTGTGCCTTCCTCTGTCATAGCTGATATGTTTAAACCAATTTTTTGTGTGCATGACTGTTTGGGGGGAGCTGGGTGGAGATGAACTGAACTGGCTTGGCCATTATTATGAATGGTCACACTGGCATGGATGTTTATAAATCAAGGACTTCTCCTGAGTATATCCTTGAGCAGAACTTTTTTTTTAAGACGAGTATTGTACTTGTGATAGGCTAAAGTACTAACCACATTAAAACTCCAATGTTTGAGGCACAATGCAGATATGTCCTACACTAAAAAAGGGAAATGTCTTACTCTGCTTCACTTATGATTGCTCCAGCTTAGTTGCTAAATTTAAACGGGAGCACTGAAAGTAAAACTTGTTGTGACAAAATGTCTTTAACTTGTTGTATTAGTGTTAACAACTGAAACAAAGGGCTATCCAACAATATGCCACTTAATGTCTAGACTTTAAAACTGGATTTCATATTCATATCACTATAGTGTTTCTACTCAAATTCAAAGTAGCATCTTAAAAATGCTAATAGGATTGTGACATAAGGTGGCATCAACAAAAAATAAGCTCAAATTAAGGTGAAATTTAAGTTCACCTCTCAAAAGGTAAATCAGGGATTGATTCCCATTCTTTTACATGTGTCAAAAGAACCTTGAACTCTGACTCACTGGGGCTCTGTTACTTTACAACAGCCAAAACAAAATCTTGTATACAAATGAGGAAAAACAAACCAGTATACCTAATGCTCCTTTCTGGTCTCTCAATTTCTGTGTGAACAGATGCAAAATGAGTATAAATGGTTGCCACAGTTCTGTGGTAAATATTTTTCCATACCTGCCTTGCTGCCTTTTATTTTGTGTAACTAAATAAAATGCAGACTGCTGTGTAACTGTAATTATCAACGTCTTCTGTGGTTGTTGGTGTCCATGTCTGTTTGTAGCATGGAGTAACTACAAATCCCTGGCACTGGCAGAAGGCTTGAAAGAAACCAAGCACCTCTTACGGGGATATATTTGTGTTGGGTGGCATTAAGGGTTTTCTGGGGGTAATGTACCACTTTAGTTGTATATGCATGTGTTCTCTGCTGCAGGCTTGCCCATGCGATCGTGCCTAGAGCACTCTGGTTTCCAGGTGACAGACACGATTCACGGTATAGTATGAGATCTCTGAAGTGGAGCATTCTCTACAGCTTTCATTTTCTTTAGTATTGGATTTCGTTGTTTAAAAGTAAGCCTTAAGTAGCACCAGCTACTGTCTGTGCATCTGAATGTTTACGGCAATAACAGAATATCAAAAAGCTGTCCCTTCCTTTTCTCTGCTCCCTCATAACAGAATGGTAACTTGAGATGTAGAGGATTTGAGTTGTGGCTTTTGTAGAGCTTGAATTGGGGATTCTTCACATGCTAGATTTTTAGGACTTCAACAAATTAGCATCAGTTCCTTCAGGTCTGACAGGGATATGGGATCAATGGCAGATCCTTAGAAGCAGAAATAGTTATTGCTGAATCTAACCCTGGTTTTGTTCCATACACTGAAGTTCAAACTGATGTCTGTCAACAGCTTCTAGAAAAGTTTTCTGTGCACAGGTCACATTTAACCTCTGAGACAATTCCTTGTAATGTTGTGATTTCCTAGCAATTTATCTAATTCCAAGTGCTGCAGTATTTTAAAGTATTGAAAATCAAGCTGAGTAAGCTGAGAAAAATTGAGTTATATTTAAATTTGTGAGCAGAGCTCAAAGTTATGTAAGATAAAAAGAGATAAAAGTTCCTTCTCTGTGCAGAATTCTTCGGCCAAGCATCATTTGGGTTTTTTGATAAGGGACTTCATCTTTCAGCCACGAAAGAAATAAATTGGGGGCATTAGGAAGAAAATGTTAAACTCAATTTTCTGTATTAAATTGCCAGATGTCTAATCACTGTCTGGTCATCTGAGCACAGATCAATGTGTACTGTTTCCCATTCTAGGACTTTTATCTTGTATCCTGCATTAAAATCAATTTACATGATCACAAATTTGACTCTAAACTACGTCTGTTGAATATAGTTGTCCTCCCTTACTAAAACTGTAATGAACTTTCTCAGGGCTTTGAGAATAAATCGTCCCACAATAAAAGTCCTGAACAAATATTTGAAGAAATCTTGAACCTGTAGAACATGTGTCCATTTCTAGTTAGTGTCCATGTAGAGAGTGATTAAAAAGCTCTAGCAGTTACTCAGTGAGCCTCTTTTTCAGGTAATTAAAATCACCTCATTTCTGTTGATGTATTTAGCTCCCAGAACTGGACATTAGTGGGAGTGGGCTATAAGGGTTATGGAAAAACTGAAATTGATAGATTTAGCCAAGAACAAGTGAGCTAAATAGGCTGACAGATTAAAGTAGTGGAATTTGATTATTTCCTGATTCCACAATAACCTCTGAGAACAG